CGGATCCAAGAGATAGACAACCTGCATGCAACGAGCAGGATTTAGATAGAGTTGTATACAGGGATAATACATGACCATGTTCCTTGACACATGTCCCAACATCGCCCACCTTACCTTTCAGTCTTAATTGATCCTATGTGCTCACATATTCCACAATCAATGCCATATTGACTGCAGGAATAAAGACAAGTTCCTCAACCCAGGCGACCCTTGCCGCCTCCGTACTTTCCTTCTGGTCCCTCGAGATGAGCATCCAACACGGCCGAAGTACCGCTCAACACCGACTTGATAGCTTCCGGGAGAAGCTTGCCCAGCTCGTCAGCTGTGCTCGCGTGCGCAGCCCATATCTCGCCACCACTTGCCGCCTTGGCGATGCCAGAGTAATCCGGTGTGGGCGCAAAGCTGATGTTGAGCTCTTCATTGCTGACTTTGGAGCCTTCGCCGTCAGGGTGGACGAGTAGCATGGAACGGCGTGGGGCGTTCCAGCCCTTGTTATTGAGCACAATGGTGAGAACGGGAATCTTGTAGCGCTGGGAGATCCAGTAGACGGAACCAGGCACAGAGAAGAGATATGTGCCGTCGCCAACAATTTGGCATACAAATTGCTTCTTGCCCTCATAGTCGGTCCCAAGCTTGATGCCCAGGGCACCGCCACCAGACCATCCAAGACCTCCGCCGCCACAGTTTATCCATGATCCGGGCAACGTCGCTTGTATCTGGTCCGCGACAAAGCCGGTTTGAGTGACGGCTTCGATGGCCCAAATTGTATCTTCTGGGCATTGCTTCTTCAGTTGGGAGCAAAGGTAAGATGTGCCATAATGGCCCTTGTCATCAACCTTGGCTTCGCTAGCGATGCCTTCGAGTTTCTTCTTGTATGACTCTTGCAAGGCCGACCATCGCTGATCAAAGATCTGACTGGTGAGCTGTTCTTTGAAAGCAGACTCTAGGTGCTCGTTCAGCTGGTTCAGAGACGTGTACGAATCGGCTTGGTAGCGTTGAACGGCGTTGAGATAAAAGACAGGCATCTGCTGCTTGAGCGGATCAACGTCGACATGGAATATTTTCGCGTCTTCTTTAGGGTGACACTGTGTGTTAATCCATGGTACATCGCAGTCGAGTACTAGAATGACATCGGCTGTTTTGATGGCCGGGTCGTTACCGTAGCGCAGGCCCAGCCACGCCGGGTGGTTTGCGGGGAAACACATGTCACTGCCTCCTGTATCCAACACGCGGATGCCTTTGATATTGTCTGCCAGTCGGACGAGCTCCTTCACTGCTTCGTGATTTCTGCCAGAGTAGCCAGTCACAATAAGAGGTTCCTGGGCCTTAACCAGAGCTTCGGCGATTGCTTTGACGCCTTTGGGAGGAAGTGCAGCTGGCTCGATGGGTGCCCAGTAGTCCTTTTTCAGCTTGTATGGGGTCAGATCCTCCTCCATAGGCTCGCGCGCGCCGTACAGATATACCGGCCCTTTTGGATCGCTCATGGCAAAGGACAAGGCGCGGTTGACCATTTGCTATGCAGTTGTTAGCGTTTCCGCATTCCATGTCGCAGTCTAGCACACCTTGACATTCTTTCCAGACTTTATCTCGCCCGTATATCTGCAGTATTGCTCCACAATCTGTTTCTGGTCTGGCACATCCTGTATCCAATGAATATACTCGGTCCTGCTCCCACGCATCTCACCCTCAATGGTAAATGGGGACAGGCCGGCAAAGATGAGAACAGGTGCGCGTCCACACGAAGCATTATGCACGGCAGCTCCAAGACCTTGTGTTCCAACATCGACATGGACAATGACACATTGGGGCTTGCCCGTCAACCTCGCATATCCATCGGCCATGGACAGAGCAACCATCTAACCATATTAGCCATTGTGTAACCTTGGCTGCATGTAGGCTACTTACCTCATTTGGGCACGTGATAATTTTGGGGAATTGGCCCTTGGCCTCATTCTGGCCTTTGACAATGGCCTCGATAATCGAAGGATGGTCGGATCCGAGGTTGACAAAGACATGACTAACGCCATACTCCCAAAGGGCCTCAAAAAAGGCAAAAGACGCAGTGTATCTAGGCAAGGTTAGAGAGCGTTTTATGCAGCACCGAGATAGTCTATACTTACACCATGGTGTCTGATAATTTTCTGGAGAAAGTTGGAGGAGGGGCATTGTATCCCCGCGACGGCCATGTTAAACAACGGCTGGTTGCCCCACAAGCGCGGGGAAGCTGCGATCGCGGCAACGGTTGTCGGATGACATCAGTTGTCGGCCCGGGGATTTTTCGTCAAAAGTTGATACTGTTCTAACCTCTTATCATCAACAAGATGCTGCATGTGTGAACCAGAAGGGCTATCTTCACCCTGAGCGCACCTTACTTGCGCCGAGCGTTAGTACTACGTACGCTGTAGTTATGTACTATCCGTGCTGCGGGGCGGCGCGCTTCCGCTCTTCGGAACACCCCCTTTGATGGTCACCATACTCACAGGACTACGACACTACGAATGCCGATCAAAGACGCGTAATACCGTCTCAGAGATTTCTAGTCTTTCGCGTTTCGTAACATGGCTGAGTATGGTTCTGCGCGAGTGTCATGTTGCACAATTGACCAAACGAAACCCGTTTCAAACTCTAGTATTTGTGTGCTATCACGGTAAGCCTGTAAAAGCTCAAAACACCCATTGCTTATTTCTCTTTACTCAGTTTTTCGATTTCCTCCAAAAGTCACAATGTTCGTCAAATCGACCTCTGTCGCTGTCTTTTTTCCATTCTCCGCGCTTGCCTATAGTGCAACATGCTCGAACCATCACGCACCCAACCATCTTCTACGTCACATCTGCAGTGGGCCTCCAGACGTCTATGTAGTCGAGCCCATCAATGGAAAAGGCTTGGGTGTTTTTGCCATACGCGATCTTGACATCGGTGACATTATCATGCGCGAATCGCCTGTCATCAGGATCAGTCGGTCCAAACTCACAAAGGGAGGCGGGAATCCCATGGCTGCTGTTGCAAAACTCGTCCACGACGAATTCAAAACGCTTTCGACCAGCGCACAAGAGCAGGTCTTGGCACTGTCTTATTATGCCAACGGTACGGTGAACACGCAGTTAGAGACAGTGGGGACCATATTCCGCACGAATGCGTACAATACCGGCGACAAATTCAGTCTGTTTCCTAGAATCGCTCGCATCAACCACTCGTGTCGACCAAACACAAGTTACTACTGGAGCGAGAAGCTCAATAAGCACATCGTCTTTGCCAGCCGGAAGATCAAGGCTGGAGAAGAGTTCTCCGTCTCTTACATTTCGCTTTTGCTTGCTCAAGAGGACCGACAGAAGTTGCTTGATCAATATGGCTTCAAATGCCAGTGCGAAGCATGTGCTCAGAAACGCGCAGCCAGTGAGGCCAGCGACAACCGTCGCGTCACTATCAAAAACGCTTTTGATAAATTTGATAGTCAGCTATTCCAAGATCCTCCAAAGACCAAGGCCGAAGTGGAATATGCCCGCAAGAGTGCTGAAGTGAGCGTTCAGCTTGCCCAGCTTGTACAAGCAGAGGGCCTTGCCGACTACTATGCGAGAGCTTACCGGATCGCCGCCCTCAGCTTTGCGAAATTGGAGAACTGGCAATCTGCCACGGATTGGGCAAACCAGGCGTATAAACTACGGCATATGGAGGATCCAGAGTCACCGTATACGATAGAAATGTACGAGCTGACGTCCATGTACATTTCGAAATGGCAGACCCAGCTCACGGGCCGGTCCTGAACTGGATGTATTTTTTTAGTCCATCGTTCTATAAACGAATTGGAATAGCATACACCCTCGATCCCGCTACCGAGTGGCGAACTAGGCGTCCCAGACCTGCGGCTCGCACATGCGGCCCTGTTCACCCGACATGCCGCTAATTAGCCTAATCCGGAACCACGCCGCCGCACCTCTATACCCACCACGTCTCTTCATCTCTCGGCATACCAAATCCATTGGAACCTCCCCTTCTCTTCTCAAAACTCCCATTCAACACACAATCAAAGCAATAATGGCGACTCAAAGATTAATCGACACCACCTCCCGCGTGCGCAAGAAGCCCATGCGCATCCTCGTGCTGGGCATGTGCCGCACCGGCACAACAACCATCACTCTCGCCCTCCGCAAATTAGGTTTCACCCCCCACCAAATGCGCAACGTGCTGTCCAACCCCTCGGACCTCGCCCTCTGGCAAGAAGCAATAAACCTCACCTTACTCCCCCCTTCAGATCGGCCTGCCCACCAACGCAACCAAGCACCATACGGCAAACAAGACTTTGACAAACTCCTTGCAGACTACGATGTCGTAGCCGACCTCCCAGGCTGCCTCTTCGCAAAAGACCTAATAGAAGCATATCCCGACGCCAAAGTCATCTTAACTCTCCGCAACTATGCAGACTGGGAAGATAGCATGCGGGAAAGTATCTGGTGCCTGGATACATGGCGCTTATTCACTTTCTGTCGCCAATTCAATCTTACCCAACTTGCGCCCCTGATGCAGCTCGTGCATTCGGCGTTTAAAGTGCATAGTGCGAATCAGTATGGCGGGCCCGCTTCAAAAGCTGCCTACGAAAAACATTATGAGGAAGTCAGGAGTGCGGTTCCCAGAGAGCGGCTGCTGGAGCTTGATATGGATGGGGAGGTGGGATGGGAGGCCTTGTGTGGGTTTTTGGGGTCGGAGGCGCCGAAGGAAGGGTTTCCGGTTGTGCAGGAGGAAAAGGCTATGCGGAAGGGGTTAGAGAGTGCGTGGTGGGGTATGGTGCAGTATTTTGTGCTGCTGATTTTGTTGCCGGGATCGGTAATCGTTGGGTCGTACTTTTTGTTTGTGTACGCGGATGTGCTGAGGGAATATAGAGATATGCTACTTTTGATGGTGAAGAAGTACATGGATACTGGGGAGTGGTAGTTTGATTACCCTTTTTTTCGCAAGAAAATCTAATGATATTGTCTATTTGCATATCCAGTCATGATGATTCAAAGCTAAGCCTTCCATCGGAGTAGCGTGAACGAATGCTTTCCAAATGTAAACTTGCCCTTTCCATCCCAACTACTCTCCTTAATCCCCACTTTCTGCTCCCCATTCGTATTCACAACTCCAATGTTCTCCCCGGTAACTGTATGCACCTCGACCTTGTCCGCCTTTAGCCCAGGGATATCGACTTCGAAGTCCCGTGTCTCGTGTATATTCGTAACAGCAAGGTTAACGAACCCATCATCACTAAGCACAGCACTGCAGTCCAAATACGGTGTCTCAATGGTACCGCGGATCCACTTAGGATTCGTGCGGCCAGTGTACTCGGGTGTACGCACATTAAGGGCGATAGTGTGACCACGCATGTACTTTGAGAAAAGGAGAAGGGGCCACCAAGTTGTTTGCTTGACAAGACCCTCCTTGGTAGTCATGAGCGGAGAGATAACGTTGACGCTCTGTGCCACAGTAGCCATGCCCACATCTTTTGCCTGACGGATGAAGCCGTTGAGGAAGTTCGCTACGGCCAGAGCGTCGGAGAGGGTGTACTTCTCTTCTGCACCCTGTTCACCGGGGGCACGCACGGGGTCCCAGACGTTCCATTCGTCGAAGCAGATGGTTTGACGGGGCACGGTTTCCGGTACGTTGTTTTCAATGCGGGCGAGGTCGATAAGACTGGATGCCATTTGTATTGCTCGCTCGGCTGCGCGGGGGGCTGTGGCGTTGGGGAGGTGCTCCTTGTCTGCAGTGTAGATGTGGATTGAGTGCATGTCAATCAGGCTCTTGGTCATGTCGCCACTGAGGCCGTGAACATCCAACTTGACGCATTGGTTCAGCACATAGTAGTCCCAAGATGAGTAGCCAGTCTCTCCACACAAGATGGTGGTGATGGTTGGGTCGAGAAGTTTCAATGCCTTGGCCCATTGGTAAGCCTTCTTAGCGTAGTCTTCTTTGGTCATCTGCTCCACTTGCCATGGGCCCCAGCACTCGTTTCCGAGAGCCCAGTACTTGACCTATCACTAAAGTTAGCAGACTGCTAATGCAAGCCACGACTCGCACCGTCTGGAGCTAACGCACGTTGTAAGGCTTTTCGCGGCCATTCTTGCGTCGAAGGTTGGCGTAGTATGTATCTCGGTCCGAGTTACAGTATTCAAGCCATCCAAGAGCTGTTGAAATCAGTCAGGTGTGATAGTAGATCCACTTTATTGCATACCTTCGTCCAAAGTGCCAGTGCCGAAGTTTAAGCAAAGATAAGGCTCTGTGCCGACCTCTTCGCACCATTGCATGAACTCATCAGTTCCGAAGGTGTTGGGCTCGATGCCGATCCATGCAAGCTCAGGCCTGGCGCCGCATTAGTCCCAATATTCTCTCTGGGGTTCACTCTCCCGAAATGCTGGGTGGTAGATCTCCACAGGGTAATGGACCCTGTAAGCGGACCTGAAACAACCCAATGGTTTTTTGTTGACACATGGAAGATTTTGTTGACTGTAGGATTGCCGACCGAGGCTCAGGCAAGACACTAGTGAATGCGATGATGGTCTTACCTCTTAGGCCTATTCTCTTTTGGTCCAACGCCATCAAGCCAATGATACGTTGCAACAAAGTTTCCGCCTGGGTAACGCACCACAGGCACTTTGAGTTCTTTGAAAGCCTCAATGACGTCTTTGCGGAAACCTCGCTCGTCTGAGAGAGGGTTGCCGGGATCGTAAATGCCGCCGTATATGCATCGACCCATGTGCCTGGTGCGTGGCTTGTTAGCCGAGGGAAAAACAAAGAAATGCATATTTCGAAAACCCCAAGCCGATAGGGCGCCATTGTCAAGCTTACTCGGTAAATCCACCATAAAGGTTGTCATTGATCTTAGCGACCTTGTGGGAGGGGTTGATGGAGATGGAGGGGGTTTCGCTCTCTTCGATTCTGGTAAAGGACGCCATGATGGATAAAGCTGGCAATTGTCCTGGAGGTGATGACAGGAGCAAAGAAGACGAAGTCCAGGTTTTCAATTGCAAGTTAATAGTGGTACGATCTGCTCGAGGTCATAGAAAGCTTCATGGCGTAGCATGTGGTTTCCAACTAGGCGCGGGCCCTAGTACAAAGCCAGCTGGCGCCTCCGGCACAAAATGGCATGCTCATTCGTGGAATTTAGGCTGCACGCATCGTCGCATCACACGTCTGGCACACGCTGCACTTGGGCCGTTTGAAGTAAACCACCCGTGCTTAGGTTCGGGCAGCCAAGACATATCCCACCAGTGGTGGAATGATGTATCTCCCAATTCAGGCCTCCGAGTGCAGATGATTACCTATCTGGACTGGCGCCGAATGTATACATCGGTTTGATTTGAACCGAGCCTCGGTCATAGCACCGACAACCGCTGTGACAGGGATCAGCACGCGGGTTGCGGAGGTAATAAACGCGGAGTCGAGTCAATACCCCCGCCATTTGTGGAGATGGTGGAGTATAGTCGCTTGCATGCGTTCCCCAGACTTGGACAGCCATGGGGTGATACCAGCCTGGCAGAAGCACGGCAATGTGCCCAGTATAAAGAGCCAGGGAGACTGCGCGTTGGCCTGACTTACCCACCGCTCTCAACCTTCCTGCAGTCCTCTCAACCCCAGCTGCAGTCGCCATGGCGCTCCCTCCCAAAGTGTACCAGTTCCTTGTGGGCCTGTTTGCATCGCTTGGTTCGTTGCTGTACGGTTACGATCTTGGTGTCATTGCCCAAGTCATTTCTTCACCAGCCTTCAATGCAGAGTTCAACCCCACAGAAGATGAAACGGGAGCAGTTGTGTCAGTTTTCACTGGTGGTGCTTTCTTTGGCGCCTTTTTCGCCGGTCCCGCTGGTGACAGGCTTGGTCGTCGACTCACCATTCTGATCGGTGCATTGGTAAGGATTGTCAAAAGCTTCTATAGCACATGAATTTTGCTAACTGAAAGCGCAAAATTAGGTCTTTATCCTCGGTGGTGCACTACAAACTGGCGCACAAGGGCTATCTTATCTCTATGCCGGACGCGCCCTTGCTGGTGTTGGTGTTGGTTTCCTCGTCATGATTGTTCCCATGTACCAATCAGAGCTGGTCCACCCCAGTATTCGTGGACGAGTCACAGCTCTCGTGCAGTTCATGTTGGGCATTGGTGCACTTGCAGCAGCCTGGATCAGTTATGGATGTGATGTCGGCTTTGCAGACAATGACAACGGCCAATGGCGCACATCGCTTGGTATCCAAGTCGTTCCAGCCGTCTTTCTAGCCGCACTCATCATGGTCTTCCCCGAGTCGCCCAGATGGCTTATCAGCAAAGGCAAAAGCGAGCAGGGTCTTCGCAACCTGGCGAAGCTCCATGCAAACGGTAACGAGTCAGATGCATGGGTCATGGCAGAGTACCAGCAGATTCAAGAAGCCATTAGCTTCGAGCGCGAGAATTCGGCCAAGTCGTATGGCGAGCTCTTCAGGGACAGGTCGTGCTTCCGCCGTCTCTTCCTCGCCTGCGCTATCCAGGCATCCGTTCAAATGACTGGTGTTTCGGCTATCCAGTACTACTCCGTCAAGATCTACGCTCAAATTGGTATCAACGGCTCCGACGCCCTCAAGTACCAGGCCATTTCCTCGGTTCTCGCTCTTTGCGGACAAGCACTCTGCATTGCTTTCATCGATCGATTGGGACGCCGCTGGACTCTTATCGGCGGCAATCTCGGCAACTGCGTTACTTTCATCATCGCGACCGTCATGTTGGCTGTTTTCCCACCCGGTAGCAGTGGAAATGCCGCCGCCGCATGGGGCTTCATTGTTGTCACTTGGGCGTACAACTTCTGCTTCAGCTCCACATGTGGACCGCTCTCCTGGATCATTCCCGCCGAGATTTTCGATACCAAGACCCGTTCCAAGGGTGTTTCCATTGCTACTATGACTTCTTTTGCATTCAATACCATGATCGGACAGACTACTGGAGTTGGCATGGCAGATGTTGGCTGGAGGTTCTACCTGCTCTTCGTCGTAAGTATTCCTTTACGATTCATTATCGATTGAAAACTAACCAGATATTAGATTTGCAATCTGACCAACGCCATTTTCTTCTACTGCTTCCTTCCCGAGACTGCTAAGCGCCCGCTTGAAGAGATGAAGTACCTCTTCACCAACGCTCCGCTTTTCGTACCTGGAATGAACAAGCACGACTTCGTGCCAGATATCGATCGTCGCGTCGAAGAGGTTGCTGCGAAGCAGGGATCTATTTCCCACGCAGAGAATGTAATTGAGTCGAAGCACTAGATGCAACAATGTGCTTGAGTTGGGTTATTGTATCTTGATATTGCTTCTGGCATATCGACAGCATGAGAAGACAGAACCTGGAAGCATAATGAACGCATTAGCGCAACTTTCTTGAGCAGAAATGCTCTCTTTGTGTATGTTCGTGATGCCGTTTTCATGTTTGCGTGATATACCCGGATATCACTTTCCAGAGAACGAGATTCAAAATTACCCGCTCACACTCGAAAAACATGGTTACGCTAGGTGATAGCTGGCACGGCATAACCGAATGGATGGGCAGTGCAAGCCACCAGGATAAATACGATTTGGCCAAATAAGGAAGTCGGTCCGACGCGTCTACAGGATATGCATCGGAGAGATGCTTACTTCATCCCAGCATGGTCACACGGGCAATGCATTATAGCCCATGGGTTAGAATAGCCCGAGGTGGGGTATCGAATACGATGAAGCTGTTTCTGTGGGATGCGTTGGTCAGGCCGTTTTGGTATGCGTGAATTGGGTGAGTATTTGTTATGCTTTGGAGCTGCGGTTGATCTGACATGAGCAAATTTAGCTGAATGACGTCAATGCTTGGCAGCCCCCACGCGTCCTCTGCTAATGCTGACCCACAGCGGAATAGTAAATGACCCAGCGTGAACATACAAAGTGCACGGGGATATATACTTATCGGGCGTGATGTATCTAGTTATGCACGGTTAGCAGCATAACAGCATCTTCTTCTCTCTTCATTTCGCACCCTACTAGCTTTCCTACTCACAAACATTATCCTTCGCGATTGCATCCTTCCTTTGGCGGTCACATTACAATATCGTGTTAGCCTCCAATGAATCGAAAACAACCCAATGCTGCTATCCAACTTGAACCCGATGAATCTCGCCATTATGGCCAGCCCACTCATGGAACTTCGTCCGTGTATTTGGCAGAAGTGAAATACCTAATCCCACAAAATAGTTCAAGCTGGGACTAAGGATTTTCCTGAGATTTCAATCTCTTCATAAAAAGGTAAAAAGATGGCACGAATTGATCCAAACGGACTACTGCATGTGTAGGAATCGTCGCCATGACAGCCAAATTCTTCAGTGAGGCGAGACGATCGAAGGACGACTACGCCACAGCCATCTCGAGAGAGCGGGTTTATAAAAATGAGCATCCGCGTATCTAGTTGTTCCACATAGTAGAGCAGACGGTCCCGCTAATATTTTCCTTCACCCAAGCTACTGAACAATGGCGCGAGATCAGGAAACTGAACCAGACTGCAGACAACAGAAGTGGGATGGCGGGCTGATCTTGTTGAGGCGGTTAGTGCGAGCGTGTATTTGAAGGGTTCCCGACGACCGAAAGGGGCACAGCAATCTGTTCTTTATGTGGTGTTTTGAGAGGGTCTGGTGATGAGGTAGAAGCTTTTTCAGCAGCAGTTTCTCAAAGCATTCGGCTTTAGGGTGATGTATGGGGTTACTACAACTGTGGTACTGGAATTTATAACAGATATCGCACTACAATGTATCCAAAAACCAAATCAAAAGACATATACGCCTCAAGCTTATACAACGATACAGGATCTCTCAACTGATCATTCATAAACTTACACTCATCTCCAACCCTTCAGAAGATTGCCACAGCATTCGGCACACACGCCACACCGCCCGGTACATCACTCGGCTTACTCACAAGCAAGAAAGTCCACCTCCCCTCCTTTTCGCACCTCTTCGTCAGCTCTTCCAAGTTCCAAAGCTCACCAATCGGCATCCCCCACAGCGGAAGCATATTAGCGTGTAAACTCACATCCCAAGTCGGTGGCGGCCAAACCTCAAATCCCACACAATCCGTCGCAGCCGCCGCAAAATATCCATCGTACAAGAAATCCTTCATCTCCTCATCCGACGCCAGTCCCACATAGAAATGCTTATCCAGCGCCAGCGCAGCCAAATCCACCTTTCCAGCCGCAGAAAACGCGTTATACTTTTCCTGCCATCCCGTCCTAACCAGGAGAATATCCGCTGTGCGCAACTCGGTCCCCTGGCTCTTTGCACACGCCTTCAAGTCCTCGGCTGTGATGGCGCATCGAGTAAAAGGGTCGTATTCTTTGCCTTGTTTTTGCGACCAAGTCCATACATCGAGAAGTACGCCGCGTCCAATGATTCCCTTCTTTGCCCAAGCATCTATACCCAGTTTACGCGATGGCTCAGGGGCGTCCTCGCCGTCTTCCCCGTCATCATTCACATTCGTCATGATGTCATCTGACAAAACGCCATTGTAGTGGCATCCGTACGTTGGGTGGGCAAAATGGCGGAAGCCGTCCCACTGGGTGCTGCTTTGCGTGTTGTACGATACTTCGTCGTCATAGGCGCCTTTGACAGCTGATCGGATGCGGTGTTTGAGCCCCAGGCGGCCGAAGAGAGCTGGGCTGGGGACATTAAGGGGGAGATCGAGAGAGATGGAATCGCCTGTTTTGACATTTTCTTGTACGGTTGTGAGGGTTCGTTCGGGGGTGAGCAGGTTCAAGCGGCCAAGTTCGTCAGCGCCGCCCCAGAACCAGGCGTTACCTTTCGGGGTGCCTGATACGTGCGGAAGACCTGAGCGCTTGGGGAAGGTGGCGGCGTCGCCGTTTGGATTCAGCCGCATCTTTATTATTGATTACCTGAGAAAATGGTCCTTGAGTATCTTGAAACAAACTTTCCTGGGGTGATATCCAGAATTCTGGGGAAGCACGCTATAAACATGACGTCGATGCTTTGTAGATGACGATACGCTCGAAGGAGTTCCCCGCCCCCACTTTTAAACCCCATTAGGATTATGATAATGCGAAATACAATCCTATCTACATGCATCTGCCATGTGACGCCACATTCTCGCGCTTCTCGCATGTAATGGAGGTTCGGTTCAGTCCGATCCTATCTTTCGTATGTAGCTGACCAGATCTAGGCTCCATTTGGAAAATGGTGCTGGAAATGCCATCCCGTCTAGTAAAATGTATATTTTGAAGCTAGTAGAAGACGTAGGTGATTCCTCTAGTATTACCCCTAGGCCTCTGAATATAGCTGAGAACCTGGTTTTACAATATGACTATAAAGTATCTGTTGATTTCTGGTAGAACTGACATGTCACGTGACCCTTACATAGCTGTTACGATACTACTACTATACAACGGATAACAGCGCCTTCATTCTTTACTCTAGTCTGGTCGTTCCCAGTCGCAACGCTGACCAACTCCCACTAACCTAGATCAGTCCAGAAATCGACACGAAAAAAAACGGAGTACTCAAACAGACTCTTCCGTCCGTTGATATTCAAGTTTCCCCATCAGCTCAATACTCCTCCATCAACAGCATGCACCCCGCCCGTGGAGTAGCTACTATCATCACTTAGTAAATAAATCGCCAACCTCGCCACCTCTTCGGGCCCGCCCGTTCTTTTCAGAGGAATACCATGCTCCACCTCCGTCAATATCTCTGGGGTTGCAGCTGTTGTGAACATGGGCGTATTGATTGCACCTCTGCATCTCACATCAGCCTTTGCACGTTCTAACAATACGTGACAAAAGTAACGAGGGTACTTACGGTGAAATGGCACTAACCCGGATTCCCAAGTGCCCCACCTCGTTGGCCGCAACTCTTGTTATGCCAACGACACCGTGCTTACTCGCTGTGTAAGGCGCACATGCAAAGCGACCAGCCAGGCCTGCGAGACTTGCTGTGTTCACGATGCTGCCTCCAGTGCCTTGCTTACTCATGACTCGAAGTTGCGCGCGCACTGCATAGAACGTGCCATCTTGGTTGACACTTTGTATTTTTGCCCATTCTTCGTCAGTCGTGTCTACAATCTTTGATGATTTGATGAAGATGCCAGCGTAGTTTGCCGCGCCGTTGAGAGCGCCGAATTTGGCCACTGTGGCTTGGATCCAATTGTCAACTTGAGATGAAGAGCTGACGTCGACAACGGTTGTGAGGATGTCGTCGGTACCGGATGAGTTGGACGCTCTCAGAGCGTTGGCTGCCTCCTCTAGTGCAGCTTTGTTAATATCGGCTAGGGAGAGCTTGGCTCCCATCGGGTACAGCAGTTTAGCAGTTACAAGACCCATACCCGATGCTGCACCTGAAATTGTGATGACCTTGCCGCATAGAGATGGGTAGATAGTTTGGGACGACATTGTTGAAGGCTGTGATCAAGCGTTGATTCTTGTTTGGTTCTGACTGCGTTGGTGAATGGAGCACAAATTGCCTTCTCGAGACTGGCTATGGTGTTGCAAAAGATGATTTCATAGAGGATGTACTTATATATACGTAACACGGGAACGAAGCCAGCGGATGTCAAGGGCTGGTGTGGTTGTACTTGTACGATAGTAGTAATAACAGTAGACCTTCTCAGCCAACTAGTCAGCACAGAACAAGTACCACTAGTAATACCCCTCAAAGCTGTAACAAACTTGTTTTGTATTTAAACATGAATGGTTGGTTTTATCTTCACTAGGGTTTGACATCCAATACCTATAGCAGCTTTGTGAAAGGACAAATGAGTTGTCTCCAGGTCGGTTATTGGTTGTACATACCTCGGGTCATGTTAGCTGTACAAGTAACTTTGACTGATATTATGGGGTAGCTTTCATCCGACTATTCCGACAGGCCTAGAAACACGGATCTACACAACTTCCGCAACCGGTCAGATCAATCAACAAAGCCACCAAAGTAATAGTATAGCCCACAACATGTGCCGATCCCCGCATCTTGGATAGGCGACTTCATGGCATTTTCGGTTATTCGTTATCCGTGTGCTTTTTGTTACCCTTCTGGGTTTAGGGCTTCGACATGAGGAGCTCTACTTACCTTTTGCCCAGATTAAGATGGAAAAAAAGAGGGGGGATGTTTAGTTAGGGTTACATCTTTACCCAAATTCTAGTCACGTATTAGTCACGTAGTGGACTATACTACTAATCTAGTAACAAAACGGAGTTTTTAGCTACGAAGAGAGATCTACCTAGAAAACGAAGCTCCGTTTTGCTTATAGATAAAAAGAGAAAGCAGTATGCTAAAACAGTACTAGAAATAGTAGTCCTTTCAAAGCGTACTCGTCGTGATTCGCCTCCTCCCCCACCTCTTCATTTCCCAATGTTTCACCATCTACGATGCAACACACGTCTTCTTATGCGTCTTCCAATCCACCTTCTGACACTCCTGCGAACAATACCTCGCCTTCTTACATTTCGCACAAGCCGGAAACGTCTTTTCACCCTTGGGACTCCTCCCACAAGTCGTGCAATCCCCTTCTTTCCTCGGTCCCCTCCCATTCTGAATAACCTCGGCCATCTGCGGCACCTTCTTCTTCATCATCTCAACCAAAATCTTGACACTCATACCGTCAGTATCTTTGTTTTCGATATCACCCCCATGCTCGATGTACCACTTCATCATCTGCACGTTCTTGGTAGTATCGCCGTGAAGATCTGCTTGCGCTATCTCGCTTGCTGGAGTAGCATTGAATCTGTTTTTGGTGTTGACAGAACCTCCTGCATCGAAGAGAATTTGCGCAAATTCTGGTTGTACATAGGGCTTTGTAGATATGGCCCAGAATAGTGCTGTGGAGCCTAGGACGTCTTTTCCGTCGACTGGTACTTTGAGATCATTGGCAAGGTACTTTACTATTCCGAGTAGCTCCTCCTTCTTTCCTGGGAGCATGTGGAGTGCTGGTAGTAATATTGCATAGACAGGGGTTTTGACAGGACCCCATCTCTTCGCGTACATGTCCTGTCTGACAGTCTCACGTGCGTTTTCATCCCCGCCTAGTTGTTTAATCATCATCTCGCAATAATTTTGTAGCGCATCGAATTCTCCATTGAATGCAGCGAGGAGAGTTTGGCCCACTGGATCTTTCAGGTCACGGCTAGGCGCAGTGGGATTGGCCTGGGTCCAGCCTCTGAGTTCCATGCCGTCCATGCCAACGAGCTGATCATCAGAGTTTATGAGATCCTCTATCGTGCTTCGTGTACATGTCAGCAAAGGGCCGCCCATCTGGGCCACTGGTGCTCACCGCTTAGACCGCGGCTGCATATTTTCGAGCATTTGCAGAAAGTTGGCAGCCATTTTGGAAAGTGAAGTTCAGTGTACGATCACGTGAGACGCTGGAGTAAGATTGCTCTTTCGGGTAAATGAAGATACTTGGAGATATAGATCGGGGCTAGACCGGCAAAGTGAGAGTAGTGTGGGTGTACAGTAAGAACGTAGCGTCCATTGTAAGAGCGAAACGGCCCGCATGTGCGGCGCCACCACGCTAGAGCCATTGAAGCGAGTGTAGGCGGCCTAAAAGCTTAACTCTCCATACGGACAATTACATCACTATGCTCTCCACATTTATTCATGTTACACAAATCTGAAATGATCTTTGTGTGACTTTGCTTATTTGAAGTCTTCATATAGGAGTACAAACCATACAGGATAAGAATGATCGCTGATGATGATAAAATGAATTCAACAAACGGTTCCAAAGATCCAGCCTGCTGCTATCCCAGGTATCAAATCCCGAACGCCATCGAGGACGCGAGCATCGAAGATCCAATCTCTCCAATCTCGGTCGTGTTTTGGTCGTGAGCTAATCATTGCTTACTTCTTCAACGCAGCATCGTACAAGCTGACAAGTATACCGACAATTGAGCTGATTTGTAGACCGTAATATCCTCCAGGCACGTGGTTTCCAACGCGGGCTACTGCAAACTCGGAGAAAGGACCCCAGGCCCTCGGGACAAGAGACGTGTTGGTAGTGTCCCGGTACGCGCTGTAAGCCAATATCGCCCGTGCAATGTTGAAGATGAGAGGATCAGCGGGATACTGGCGATCATCTGATTTGCGGGAGGTGTTTGAACGGAGAGTCAGGTTGAAGAAGTATGAGAAGAAGAGCGGCAGGACCCAGCTGGTTAGTGACCACAGGGTTGCGGGCGCCCACCAGTCGGCCGTCAGAAGTGCCCAACCGTTAGGACCTCTGATTTCCTGGCTGTTGGAGTATGAAGCGAGCGCAGCGGGCGTAGCAAACAGAGGTGTCGTATCAAGCGTGTTCCACTGGAGTCCCACAGCCTCAATGAGCAGGATTATCGTCTGAATGGTAGCAACAGAGCTTGCGTTTTCACGAATAAACTCCTTCAGCTCGTCGATCCTGGTCCTGTCCCAAATTTCAGTGGCCTTTGTCTTTACAATCTGAAGCGATTGGTCTGCAACTTCAGCTAGTTGCGCAGGCGATGGGGGAATATCAACTTGGGGAGCGATTTCAGAGACGCGTCGAGAAACTGGTTTAGGCGTTCGCGACTTTACGGCGCTGTTCTCAAAGGCACTTCTGCGCTCTATAGCTGTGCTGCGCTCTACAGCTGGGGTGCGTTCCACAACCGGGGTACGTTCAGGCTTAGGCTCTTCTTCACTGTGAAGGTGTCAGTCTCAACGCGCAACGCGTCGCGTGCTTGGGGTATGACGTACGCAGGCTCCTTGATAATTGTGCGTCGGCGCGTCGTCTTGGTCACAGTAACAGGTGCCGTAGGCGACGAGCGCTCGCGCTTCACAGGCGATCCGTTGCGACCATAGTAGTCGCGGAATTCTGGGAGTTTGGCATACAGCGTCTCATTGGAGTTCAGATGGTTTGCCAGCGATTCCACCAAATCATCCTTCAACAGACCATCCGCACTACGGGGCGAGTATTAGTTTCGCGGCATACGCGCAAGATCGATTTGAGCCTACTCGGGGAGTCTAGCCTTCTGTGCAAGGTCAATCAGGTCGGCTTTGCGCTTCTTCTGCAGCCAAGTGTGAGACATGGTGAATGGTACAGTCTGAGTCGCGTGCGCGTGGCGATTACAATGATATAAATAATGAGGCGAAAAGAGAATGGGGTGCGAGAAAAGGTGGGGGCGGTGTGGTGTTGACCAGGTGGGAAGAGAGTTAGTGGTACGCGAGGCTCGAGATGTAAACACGAAGGCTGGGGCTCACGTGGGTCAGATGGGCGCTAAGTCGGCGGCTATAGGGCCCAGCCTTGAAGCCCTTTGTCCTGATCTGCAGCAGGACAGCGCATTGTCGTTACGCGCAGGGCCACGTTGTGCATGTTTCGTGCTGCATCCGATACATGACAGCTCCCTCCGTAGTCTGGCCTCTTATCTGTGCTAATCAGGGCCTCATCAGGTCCCTGTGCTCCGTTGTGGCGGTGCATGCAAGGGGTCATGTAGCGCCGCTGTGGCGCAGTCCCGGCCTTGGCCGAAATTTTCTAGACAGCAGCATCATCGCAGGCCCGCATCGGCTGCAACGTCACTTTTTGCTTTTATCGCCCTGCTTCCCTGCGTCTGCCTTCTATATTTGCAGCATTCCCGCTACATCACTCACAATTCTTCCCACAGCGCACCACCGCCATCTAAGCGCTCATGGTACTTGCCCGCGTGGCCAACTTCTTCACCAACGGAGACTCTACCAGTACTCTCACCGATAGTAGCCGGGACTATGTCGCAAATACAACACGAGCAAGGGCGCCGCCCATGGAGGATACCAAGCGAAGAGTGATTGACGAGGAGGAGATAGACGACGAAGCAGCGCGGCCGCCATACCTACATGTGAGGATGCTTAGCCGGCAAACATGAAGGCATGCCAATTGACCATTTACAGGCAATGCTGGCAGGAGGCATAGGAGGCACCACAGGCGACATGCTGATGCACTCACTCGACACTGTAAAGACGCGCCAACAGGGCGACCCGCATATGCCACCAAAGTACACATCCATGGGTAATACATACTACACCATATGGCGGCAAGAGGGATTCAAAAGAGGATTGTATGGCGGTGTTGAACCTGCCTTTCTTGGATCGTTCATTGGCACCATGTGCTTCTTTGGCGCATATGAATGGACAAAGCGGACTATGATCGACTATGGCGTCACTCCATCAGTCGCATATTTCTCAGCAGGTACACTGATGCCTAACCTACACTCAGAAGAAATATGCTAATATGTTATCAGGTCTCCTAGCCGACCTCGCAGCAGCCCCCGCATACGTCCCGTCGGAAGTCCTCAAGACCCGCCTTCAATTGCAAGGCCGACATAACAACCCTTACTTCAATTCCGGCTACAATTATCGCTCTACCATTGACGCCGCGCGCACAATCGCCCGAACCGAAGGTTACAGCGCCCTTTTCCACGGCTACAAAGCAACACTTTGGCGCGACTTGCCCTTTTCCGCACTGCAATTCGCCTTTTACGAAGAAGAGCGCGGCTGGGCAAAAAAGTACATGGGTACTAACAACATTGGACTCCCCCTGGAAATTGCGACCGCAGCAACAGCAGGAGGAATGGCCGGTGTCATAACCACACCTCTTGACGTAGTCAAAACTCGCATCCAAACCCAGCACAACGGTCCTTCTCCAGCCTCCCCAGCCGCACCCAAAATCTCGCTTTCCCCAGCATCAACAACGAAACATGCACCACTCACACAGTCTGTTGCCCCGCGCTCTACAACGCAAAGCAGACCCATATCTACCTCGTCGCCCTCAACGACGCTCAAAGCACATGGCGCAGCAACGCTCGACACATCATCTGTCGTCACGGGTTTAAAGATAATATACAAGACTGAAGGCGTGGCTGGCTGGTTCAGAGGCGTAGGACCCCGTGCGGTCTGGACGAGCGTGCAGTCTGGTACTATGCTCGTCTTGTACCAGACGCTTCTCCGGTATTTTGAGGAGCATCCCCTGTCACGTGCTGAGGATGTGTAAGATTAGCTTCTTTTTTTTTTGCATAAGCATTTTGTACGATGAATGAATCAAGGTGGCATAAGGTGACATAGAAGTATGCATTCGCGGCGTTGTTTTATTCGTTTTTTTAAGTCGGGACAATCGCCTCTTTTGGTTCATATGAGGGGCTACATGTTTTGTAGAGCGATAGAATTGTGGGAATACCAAGGCCTCTTTACACTCATGACATATTTTTACGGATCGTGATGGTGACAAGAGACAAAGGCTTGTCTGCGTGGAAATCAATCAGTTCACCAAGATATCTACATGAGTCTAAACAACAGATCAAGGCACCTGTACAACAGAGCCTTCTCCAACCAACTTTCTCTCTCACTCCCTCGAGCTCCACAAACATCAACTTTCCTACCGCCTGCCCCTCTCATCCTCCCCACCTCCACCTCCACCCGACCCAGCCATCTGCCCCGTATTAGCCCTCTTAACTCGCCTAAAACACGCAAACTGGACCTTCGTCCCCTCCCTCAATCTCTTCAACACTGTCCTCAAATTGCCCAACTCATCCTGCAACTTGACTCTCGCCGCATTATCTGTCTTCTGGTCGAGGACCTGATAAATATCCGTCTGGATCTGCGACGCCTGCTCTGTCGTATACGCCGAGAGCGTTTGCGCCATGAATTCCACATCGAGGGTTGCTTGCATGAGTTGCGGGAGGGAGATGGTGGGAAGGTTGTCGGACTGAAATGTTTGGATTAGGGAGGCGGTGGTGGATTCGAAGAGGGAGCGCAGGATGCGTGGGGTGAGGGGTGCGGAGGTGGTGCTGGATTCGGTGTGCACGATTACGAGGTCGAGGAGGACCGAGAAGACGTAGGGGCTTGGGTCGCGGTCTGCGACGGATTTTTGGTTCGGGCCGGGAGGGGGAGCCCAGGCTGGAGAGAAGATGCCTGATTGAATTGTCGAGTTTATTTTTGTGGCGTGGGGCTTGGTGTAGGAGCGGAAGAGTTGCGAGTCGAGTTGGGAGAGGACGTCGCGGATGCGGTTTGTTTCGTCAGTGAGTTGGACGCTGAAGAGGGTTTCGAAAAGGTTGAGAAGGGTTGGTGTTATTTCTGATTGGAAGGCGGACATGTTGGCGAGGGTCAGGAGGAGTCGGATTGACTATTGGTTGTTAGACTAATACGTTCTTTGCAATAGTTGAGGGTTCCTACCTTTTTGTTGGCATCAACTCTGCCCCACTCGTTTCCAGTATGGTCTTCCTGCTCGTCAATGGTAAGGTCATCACTCTTGACCTCGAATTCGTCGCCAAGTGCCTTTCTGCCTCTTTCAGCACATTCAACCATACCGCTCAGTGTTCTGTACAAGCTCGTCACGAACTGGCTTCTAACCATCTGCAGCAGTTTGTTGCTCGGCGGCACAACCACATCAATCTTGGTCTTGCTCGATGCCTCGACATAGAGTATCTTCTGAAGGTTATTCAGCAGGAAACTCTGTACTGCCAGGAAGCGCTGAGGCAGATTTGTAACATCCTTGCGGTCAACATGGCGGGTCCAGTCCTCAAGCACTTTGAGTTTCTCTGCATCAGTATTCCAGGCTGCACATACAGCCTGCACAGAGCGCTCACGCACTCCACCCAGCAGTAATCGCAAGGACTCATCAATGCGCCCACTGCCTCCAGGCTCTGGCACTTGTAATGACGCCAACTCATTGGCTGCAGTGCCAATCAGAACAAGGGTCTTGGAGAGATAATGAGATCCAGATAGAGCATTGGAATGAGGAGGCCAGAAGGCATACTTCTCCCATGTTTCACCTCGACTGGGTGATGGTGGTGGTACTTTGCTGAGGTCAAATCGTGACCTGGTTGCCGAGGTGGGACTCAGAATACCGCTTCTTGGTGTTCCAGGAGTTGTCGGTGTAGGAGTTGTCGGTGGTAATGGCGAGAAGAGTAGTGACACATCCTCGATAGGTGGGTCTGAAAAGAATGAGAACAGATGGTCTCGGAGAATACCAATGAGCTCCGTAGTACCCCTCTCTAGCTCGGCCTTGTTTTCGCTACTCAGCCGATGATGTACAGATGACTGGCCGTGATGACCTGTGGGCAAATTCCTTTGCGCGCGTCCAGAGAGGAAAGATTGGGCAATATCCCAGTATTCGATAAGCTCCCCCAGCAACCCGCCTTTTGTAGAGAGAAGTGTGTTCATCAAAGCATACACGTGCTCCCAGAATTCGATCACTTTGGGAGTGTCCAACTTGTATGGCTCAGCACTGATATTGCTGCTAGTCGGAACCGAACGCAAATGCTTTTGCAGTAAACGCAGGCTCGGCTTTTCACCGTGAACCAAATGGCGGCGAAGGATCTCGATTTCAACGACTGAACGCTGACAGGTAGAGTTGATGTGCAGTTTGAGGTGCTCATATCGTGAGATGAGCCATGCCCAGATTGGATTTTCCTCTACACCCAACTCGAGCAATATTGAAATGATGCTCAGGTACTCGTCCGACTTGGTCTCCTCACTTCCAGTTTGCAGGTTTGTGAAGTGCGTCGCTGTGAGGCGTTTCCACGAATCTCGCTTGAACTTTTCAATCTGTCGCTCCACATCCGACCACATTCTTGCTGTAACAATGACCTGGTGTATCTCGGAGTCGGTAAGTGGTGTCTGTGCAGAAGTCGCTTGCTCCGCAACGTATCGGGCTTCCTCTGCATACTTGCCCGCGCGCTTGTATTCTTCTACAATTGTCTCGTGGTCTTTGTGGCGTATTGCCTCCTCTATAGCGGACCCAACTTCGAACATGCCGCGATGGTGCTCCACAGATTCTAAAATGGACTTGAGTGTCTCTTCTCTTTCTCGCCCGTTCAGCGCAGGACCCCACACTTCCTCTGCTTTGACAGCGACTTCGGTCAGCGGGGCCTTGATGCCTTGTACACCATATTCGCTCTCCTTGACCAAGGCATTCTTCCTCTTTTCCGCGGGCACAGCATCGACCATGCCCGATGAGAGGTTTGCGCTCGACTTGCGACCAGAGAAACTGGAACGGCTTCTTGTGCGACCTTGTGGTGGAGCACTGAGCGATTCCGACTGATCTTTTCCTTGGGCGCGCATCTCGTTGTAGACGCGGTCAATGGTAGCCTTTGCGCCCACAAAACGGTCAAAGTTGGACTCGACAAGGACCTTGAGCGAGGCTGACTTCTTCTCAATAGAGCGAGAAAGGAAGTCAAGACCGGAGAGAAGGGCGTCTGTAGAGGCTTCATTGTGGACTTGGGAAAGGAAGAGGGAGGGCGAGAAGGTAGTGGAGCTCAAGAGGAAGCGGTTGCCTGTGGGCCATTAGACATGCCCCATGTGTATTGCTATGTTGTTTAAACATACGCAGCTTGATATCATCCTCGACCTGCACGTTCTTGGCTCGCAGCACCTGCACTACACTGGGATACATGCCCAACGGGTCCTGTTCATCCTTCTGTACCAGCGTCTCCACGCCATCCTTGGACCGCTCTGCTCCGGGAATCTGCCGCGAAAATCGGGGGCTGGGTTCTAGTATAGAGAAGCGCGACTGCGATCGGCGAACGGGTTTCTGGGTGACTTTGGTCGCTGGGTCGACATACTCCTCATCTTCATCGGCAGCATCCTTCTCCTCGGGCCATACCGCAGGGTACAGCGTCGTGAGATTGTATTTGTTCAGTATCTCCGTCTCTATTGACGAGCTCATTGTAGCTGTGGCGAGGTTCGAAAGGTCATTCAATCTGGAAATGCCCCCGTGGAGCGGTTGTGAGTTGCGTGTCGCAAGTGACAGCTCGCTGAGACGCGGTTGCGGCCACCAATCAGACACGCGTAGTGCTTGGCGGTGAGACTGCATATTACGTCTAACGACCTGCCCCACTTCATAACATAACATCTTGCCAGAGTCAGATAAAAGCAAACTTACTCAGAAAGTGATATTTGCATGATGTTTCGAGTATCACCGTTTTGTTTCCAAGTACGTAGTCGAATTGGAGCACTCACACCCCCACTCTTATCACCTATCCATTCAAGAGATACATATACACTTGCACAACGCCGTGCCCCGGTAATCGTGTCTGTAATGGTTATACCAAATGATTTTATTGAGAATAATCTCTTCGGCGTCATGCACTATTGGCCATTATTCAGGGTTATATTCTCTCTCTTCCAAGATCATGACGCCCATCCGAGTTCGAAATTCAGTATCAGTGGAGAGTTTGCAACTCTTACTAGTGATTTTGAAATAAAAAATCCCCATATATCTCTCCATGAAAGTTCTGATATTAGCCTGTTCTTCTCTCACTTCTCGACCTATACACACTCTGATTTTACCTCAGGCTCTCACTTCTAGAGCCCCTCTAGTACGGTACCAATCTTCCCTCTGGGTATATAAACCATCAAACTGAGGGAGCATCCTTTCATCCTCTTCTCCACTTGATACTATTTCATATCCATCCATAGTCTATCCTTGTCATTACCTACCTCCAGCATGGACTTGCCCAAGTCCGCATCCCCTGCGCATACAAATACGCTTGAGGAGACTTCGACACCGGTCTCGGAAGCAACATGCGCAAGCCCAATCCATGGACAAGATGTCTCTGACTTGGAGGCTGAATCAGAGGCTTCACAACTTATAGATGATTCTCAGCCAGCGGCGCACACTGCCTCCAACCAACCAACTCCTGATGATGACGACGATGATGATGATGATGAAGAAGAACAAGATTCTTACTTCACGGGTGATCTAGCGGAGAACCAGCGAAGAGAAGTCAAATCTCGGTTCTTGGGCACCATTGATATGTTCGTCTCAAAATCTTACATTGTATCCCGAAAATACTGACCAAACGTAGCACATTCGACTCTCAAGACGAAAACATGCGTGTCCAGTGCAGCTTGTTGCCAAAAGATTTCTACCGGACCTTCTACGAAACTTCGGCCACTCTAAGTCGCTATGTGACTGTTGACACTCACGTGAAGCATCGCAAGAGGAAGGATCTAAAGATGGATGATCACAACGCCTTCCAGGCTGTTGCGGTTTTCTCTCTTGACCAAAACATGTTTCTGGAAGAAATCGAGAGGCACCTCGTATGGAATCAAAAGAAAATCCCATCTGCATATATATCGGTTTTCAACGGTATCGGTAAGTATCATGCTCAAGCGTCTATCTCAGGTAAGCCCAAACTAACACATTCCAAGACCATGCAAAGAGACGGGCAAATTTCCATTACGATAGAAGTCAGCGCATCGGACAGCGTGTAAGCGTCGCCAAGATACACACTAAGGGCCTCATTCCTGCCACTATACGCGCAGAGTGTGAAACAACTGTCAAAGTTTTCACCCAAACTTACGTGCTTGGAGAAAGCGTGAAAATCAAAAGTTACTCTCGACAAGTCGACATTCCCGTATGGATCCATAAGAAAGCAATGGAGCAATACGGCCGTACTATCACACCTGAGCAGTTGAAGAAATCCGGCGCGGATATGTGGTTGTCCATTACGGAACTTCGCATGTCGAACCTCAAGGTGGCGGGGCCCACATTCAACAAGACCAGAGATGTGATCTGCGCAAAAGGACACGACTACGAGTGGCTCTGTTGCGGCGGCATTCCCAAGTCAAGAATCGAGGGTGTTTGTCCTTGGGATGGCAAGGTATTACACATGACTGACCCTGGCCATCCGATTCGAAGTTTCGAAAACAGTGGTCAGCCTTGGGTCTGGAGTTGGAAAAAGGAGATTTGGCTCCCGGAGTTGTTTTCAGCCTCTGCAATTGCTGCCCAGAGTGAAGGTTCCAACACCAAGCGCCAGCGTACTGATGATGAGGCGGTCATTCAGGATAAAAACAAGAAGACGAAGGTTTCTGAGTGCTCTAAAGCACGCCCGCTGCTCTCAATGAGTGCCGTTCATACGATCTGGTCTGAGCTTTGAGAGACGCAGCTAATGCATGCCCCGGCATACATTGACGACTACGCCCTCGGATTCACCATATCTCACGGGAAGCTAACTCAACCTTGCTCATCACATCTGCTTCTTTCATATTCTGCCTTCGGTCTTTCCTGATTTTTCATCCCATCAGCCCCAGCCCAGTCATATTTAGTTCAATCCCAAATCTCGGTCGATTCAAGCATATCCAGTATTCCCCCATCATATGTCTTGCGTTCTCTATCACATGTACTGCGTTCTACATTTCCACCCATTATACCCACTGCATCCCCCAGATATCTCATCTCATGTACCTACGATACCCCCAAACAAATGAATCAGTTATCAGCCCCATATCAGCTCTCCCACTTATGCAATATAGTGTCTGATCAGGAGAAATCTCAATTACCCAGCCAATTTCCCCTTCTCGCAGCCAGACCATATCAATGCTACTACCAACATATGTATTTCCCACTCACATACCTTGCACCATAGGAAGGTTGGATATGAGTTTCATTTCCAACCTTTCTTATCCCAGCACCGTGATCAAAAGTCAAATATTTCCCCCCCAACAACATCAACACCCCTTGCTCCTTCAGCCACTGCTGATTTCTTCTCAACCATGTTTCCCTATTAGTAGTGAGAATGTTCGCAGCTTATCACTAACGAAGCTTGAATTTTCTTCATCGAGAACGACCGTACTTTGGACGCTGTCTACAATCCACATTGCCTACCCATCACCTTATCTAGGCTGGTAGTTATCCATCTAGACGTAGCGTGCGCTCGGGGAACTAAAATAAACTAGCTCATGTGGCGAACTCCTACATACAAAGAGACTGGCGAGTTTTATTCTAGAGCTTAATCACATTCTCGGCGTCTTTCGTAAGAAAGCTCAAGAAAGCTCAAGAATGAGACTGACCAGTCTCTTGTTTTGTTTTGTTTCTGTCCTTTTTCTACCCATACATTGCTACACCTTATACTCATTGTACTTGGCACGTAGGAAAACACTTGAGGACTCTTGCATGTAGACGTAGATATTATTTTTTTACGTACACATGCTATATCTAGGTAGTATTATGTACATAGTCTTACTTTTGTAGTGTCGTGGAGCATTTTTCACCTCCATCTGCGCAGGTGCTCGATGCATAAAATGATTGTATTGTTCAGGCCTGAAGGGTCTTTTGTCCTGAAAGTTGGTTGTCTATCTATGGTTATTGTTGTTGTTCCCTCTTATGTACTTCCTATTATATCCCCGTCCGAATACCCCTCGGGCCTTCTCATAACATAATCCCAACTGCTCCTCAACAATAGCGTGGTTGTACTGTATGTGGTACGTAGGGGGACGGACAGTTTTGATCCAACCAACATATCAATCCGCATCCTCAAACATCCGCAATAACACAGAAGACGTTTAGTTTTTTTTAAAAAAAATAGCAGTGAAGAGTAGAAACTTATATTTCCTTTCTACTTATACAAAGAAGAAAATAAGAAAAGAGGTATGCAGTTGTCACCTTCCTTTAAAAAAATATGAGAAAACGCCGTGATACATGTACCCATTCCCTTCCCAATCTGCCAATGAAACCCCGAAATCCAAGAAAACGAGACAAAGAAAACGACGAAAGGAAAAACTCAAGAACACCATGAGTGCTCCCCATATCATTTTGATATCCAAAGTGAGAAAAAAAAAGAGAAAGAAGTCACACCCTTCACTGGTGCACCTGACTAACGTATCCATTCCCCCACTCACTCTCGTCATCACTGCCGATATGCGACCACTCGCTCGGCGTCATGATACCAGGTCGGTTCTCAGAGTCAAACTCACTAAAGCCGCCTTCTGAAAAAGCATCTGTGAAGCCGCCCTCGGAGAAGATTTCAGAGCGGGCATCGTGATCAGAGTCGTTTTGCATGCTGAGGATGCCAATGTCGTCGGCGCGGATGGAGGCGGCGGAGGCGGAGGCGAGGGTCATGGAGCGCTCAGAGCGAGGGGTTAGGGTGCCGGTGGAGAGGTGGGAGGGGGATGAGGGACGGGGTTCTGCGAGAGGTTCTGCGAGGGGTGAGGTGGAGGATGTGATGGAGTAGAAGGATTGGGCGGCTTGGTCTGCTTCGTCGGCTTGGGGTTGGGCGGGTGAAGATGGGACGTCAGGGGTGGGGGTTAGGTCGACAAGAGTAGCGGCGGCTGGAGTGGAGGCAGTATCGGGTTGGACGGTTGCAGAGCTTTCGCGGGTGTCAGCTTGGGTGGAGGGGGAAAGTGTTTCGTTGTGGTGGTCGTTGTCCAAGAGAGTTGCGTCATCGTCGAATGGGTTTGCGAGAACAGCCGCCGCAGCTGAGCCGGCGGCAAAGCCGGCCACGCCGCGTTTCCTGATGTCGCCCTTTGCAGAATCCGTGCCAGTCGTGTTTGCCTTGTCCTTGAGAGTACCGTCGCTGCCAACCATGTCGTCGAAGCTCTTTGTGCGATCCGCCCTCGATCTCTGCGCGGCAACCTCAGCAGTCTCGGCCCCAATCCTGGCCAACTCGTCGAGATCCACGGCAATTCCCTCTTCTCTTGCTCTTCTAATCAGCTCGTTCCGATTTCTCCGAACCAGCTCCTCTCTCCTCCGCTTCCTTTCCTCGAAATCATCTGACGTTTCGCTGGGGCGGCGAGGCTGAATGTCATCGCCGAGATTATGCAGCGCAAGGGCAATCTTACGGCGCGTCTGATCAGCCCATTGTCGAACCTGGGGCGACTCGTAAATGGCGATTCCGGCAGCGACAATAACGGATGCGGCGATTATAAGGCCTGATGTCAAGGGGTGGTTAGGACGATATGGTGGGGTGGTAGCTCCATGGCAGGGAGGAGCTGAGCGTGGGCCGGTGCCTGCAAGCAGGTTGGCAGAAGACTAGGGAACAGACAGGAAAAAACACGGGGAATGGAGAATGGGGAATACCATCGTGAGCCCAGACGGAGAACACGAAGTTAGGCGTGCATTAAGTGGAGAGCTGTGCTCATAAGTAACTCACCTTTGGCTAGTGGCGCAGGCATCTTCGCGAGGCTACCCGGACAGCGGGTGCTGCTGGACGGAACAGATCTTTGGAGGAAGCAATGAATGAAGGAGCGTCGATGTCGGGATGATGTGTTTTATAGCTCCACCAGAGGGATGTGAGTGGAAGAAGAGGAGGACTCGAAGTACAGGGGACAGCAGTCGGGCGGTTGTCAGGCCGTCGTCGCCACTTGCACAGCCGCAGGACGGATGATATGCAGGGCTCCGGGCGGCGTTGGCGGGGTCGCGTGCCATTCGCGCTAATCTCGCCCGACATGAAGCTCATCGCCCCGCAATTGGCTGGCCCGCCTCAATCACGTCTCTGGCATTTATCTAATATAGTACGTGGTGGATTTAAAGCCATATATGTTGCGCATTTGGCATGTCAGAACTTGCATGTTAGTCTCTCATAGAATATGGAAGAAGAAAAAAGACGCACATCTTTCTTGGTACCACGCCACCCTGGTCAATGCATAACTATGTACATACACATTATTCATGTAGTTATCCAATGTTCGAGACTTGATGACCAAATAGGGACCAACACTCGAGTTATGTCATATTCACAACCTAGCCCTCTTGCGATCCTGTCCAGCCATTCACATACTCTGCGCTTACTCGGATATCACGGCCAGCGTTTCATACGCTCTCGAGGTCCGAAAGCGCGAATAGGCGCTATTGCAGCTAGTTTGCTGGCAGGTACGTAGCCCTCGCGTAGGCGTTCTAAAATCTAACTCTAAATCTACTAAATCTAAGGGGGGATATGCACGTGTTGGGTCGACAGAGATTCCGACAATCACACATCCCGGTGGCCCTCATGTTCCTCCAATTCCCGCATCTTCCTCGAGTGTTCGCCGTAGATACCCCAGAAACAGGCAAAGATGCCCAACACGCTCGAGGTGAGGGTGACGTAGTATGCGGTGCGGTAACACGAAAGTCCCACCTCGCAACCGCGCTGGCCATCGGGCTCCACTATCGAGTTGGAGTCGTAGACCGTACCATAGAACAGATTGAACACGTTGCCGCTGACGACGGGTGCCAGAGTCATGAATCCCCAATTGACAGCGAAACCATCCGGGCCGAAAGCGTCAACAACCAGCACAGGGAAAACACCAAACAAGACTCCATATGCGAGACCAGAAAGTCCGGAAACAGCCCATAGGTAGTGTGGATCCTCAACACGGATCGCAGCGCCTTGTGCAAGGGCAAAAATCGCGGCCGAAATTGCAGCGCACCAGAAGCGCGAGTGGTTCAAACGCTTCACGATAAGATCGGAACCAATACCAGACGAAAGTCGTCCCAGGAAGGAGCAAAGCGAAATCAAAGAGACGTGCCACAGCTGGCGGTGAGCGAGGAAATCATCAGTAACCTTTTGATCCCAGAATTTCCAGAGTGCTTGCACATCATGGCCAATGTTGCTAAACAAGTCAGTGGTGATTTAGTGCCCAGGTACAATTGAACATACTTGATGGTCATGAGGCCAACACCCGACAAAAGACCCATGAGAACCCAGAGTTGCCAAAACTCCGGTCTACGTAGCAGAGCCAGTCCAGTCACGTCTGTTGAAGAGTGAGCCGACTTCTTGCTTACGGCTTCGGAATCATCGTCGACAATGTCGCCAGGAAGAGATGACAGAAGCGACGATACTTCTGTAGAGGGGCCGTCTTGTTCTTCCTCGGCTGCTAGAAGTGGTTGGCAAGTGACAGGAAAAAAAAGGACGTGGATAGATAAGAAATAGGGTGCTTACTGGTCTCCTGTTGCGGTAGAGCGGAGGACTTGAACTTGGTGCTAGTGCTAGACTTTGTCGTATGAAGCACATTTGAGTCACGTCGTGTACGCTCGCTAGTGGGTATCACTGCGTAGCCAGTGCCAGCCTTATGATCGACGACGATAAGGAAGGGTATTGATACTAGCACGAGACTCGAAGTTGCAAAAGATAACATCGTAAGTAGGCCGGATGTGTTTCCCGGGAACGCGATGCCGGCGATGAGCGTGTAAAAGAAAGCACTAAGGCCAAAAGCAGCCAGCGGACATGCCGTCGCCGATCCACGGTGAGTTGGCCAGTTGAGAGTAGCTGACAACGGTCAATATGAATTCGTGGGGAGATAACGGGGAGCGAACCAGTCTTCAAGGCAGCCTGAAAAGCAGCACAGCTGCCCACACCGCTCAAGAAAGAACAAAAGGATATCAAGGCCACACTCATGTAGCCGGGGCCTCCATCGTATGCTGGCAACAGTCAGACACAACCTTGACAACCAAAGTCGAGGTATCATACCCAGTTTGATGGGGTAGTATCCCACAAAGAGCGCAAACATGCCGATGATGGCAGCAAGTCTTGGGCTCTTCCGATCCGTTATCATGCCCATGGGTATGCCGGCCGCATACATGCCCAGATTGGCGGCAGTTCCCTAAAGATTGTAAGGAGGGATATACGTCGACTGTCGGAGGGAGGAGAGCGTACGATAATGTTACTCTGAGTAGCAGAGAGCTTAAGCTTATCGGCGAACTGCGGTGCCCATGCTGAGTAGGCATACTGAGGGGTGTTAGCATCCCGGCCGCCCTTGGAGATGGAGACGTACGTTTGTGCCACAGGCAAGGGCAATCAAAGTAGCAGCGACGACGGACACGATGCGCGTCTTCTTGTGTGTGGGAGGCATTGTATCGGCGACCATCTTGGCCAGTGGAGAGAAGGTGTTATTGCAGCGCGCGGGTCATCAAATGCGCGATATCGTGAGTTGCGCAATAGTGATAGTCGGCACTTGATAGGCCGAGGCGAACAAGGGGCGCGGGAAAGATAAGTATGCAGACGAAGATAAGGTGCACGAAAAGAATGACGGAGATCGCAGCCTACACGACTCTTCAACGAAGCAAGCCGGGCAAGCCTTGGGAAACTGAACCGAGGGGTGTGAGCGAGTGTTGAGGCCGGATGCAGCAATGGGCGTCGGAGATAAGATGGGCTGTCACGGCTTGGCGCAGTACTAGCCGCAGCTGGACAGGAACGTCACCGGCCTCGCCCTCGTGCCTGTTCTCCAGATTCTCCACCACCCACCCACCTCCATACGCGACTCCAGCGACCATCACCACCATGGGCGCCTTACTATCTGTTCCCTTCTTGGTCATGCCGGCCATGAGCACCGTATGTCGCGTGCTCCATCACGTTTGCGCGCCCTGCTAACATCACCAGGTCTGGAGCCTCGCCGCCTCCTGCTGTGGCGCTGCGACATGTAGCGCCGTCATGGGCTCTTGTGGAGGAAAATGTGGCAACAGGTGGGTGTACAGACGCATGCGCTGATGTGTATACTGACAGTCTGCAGCATTGCCACCCGTATTGCATACGCGCTCATCCTGCTCGTCAACTCGATTGTTTCGTGGATCATGCTCACCGACTGGGCCATGAAGAAGCTGGCACACCTTACCCTTGATTATGTCGACATCAAATGTCTTGGAGAACAATGCTACGGCTACGTTGCGGTGCAGCGCATCAACTTTGCTCTCGGCTTCTTCCACGTCATCATGGCCCTAATGCTCATCGGAGTACAGACTTCAAAGGACCCGCGCGCAACTATACAAAACGGCTTTTGGCTGCCCAAGATTTTTGGCTGGATCGGCATGATTGTTCTGACCTTCTTCGTTCCCAACTCGTTCTTTATTGTGTGGGGAAACTACTTTGCCATGGTTGGCGCATGCCTGTTCCTCCTCATTGGACTGATCCTGCTTGTGGACTTGGCGCATAACTGGGCCGAGTATTGCCAGGAAAAGATTGAGACTACCGATTCACGTGTCTGGACTGGCATGCTTGTCGGTAGCGCCTTGTTCATGTATCTTGCTTCATTTGCCATGACGATTGTCATGTATATTTACTTTGCTAAGAGCGGATGCGGCATGAACCAGGCAGCCATTACGGTAGGTCGAGTTTTGCGCCAGCACAGGATATGACTAACATTTACAGATCAACCTCATCTTGCTCTTGATCTCTTCCGTTGCTTCTATTCACCCTGCGGTACAGGACGTAAACCCGCGCGCTGGTCTCGCCCAATCTGCCATTGTAGCCATTTACTGCACATACCTCACCATGTCTGCTGTGGGAATGGAGCCCGATGATCATCAGTGCAACCCATTGATCCGTGCTCGCGGTACCCGTAAGGCGACCATCATCATTGGTGCAATTGTTACCTTCGTTACTGTCGCATACACCACCACTCGTGCAGCGACATACGGCCTGGCTCTTGGCGCCCAAGGTAACCCTCACGGAAACGGATATGCCCAAGTCGGTACCGAAGACTACGAACACGGTCTCGTTACCCAGCAACCCGAATCTCGTCGTGAAATGCGCCAGGCCGCACTTCGCGCTGCCGTAGAATCTGGTTCCCTGCCCGCCTCTGCGCTTGACGACGAGGACAGCGACGACGAGGACGAAGGGCCCTGCAACAAGAAGAACCCACGTGATGATGAGCGCAACGCGACACAGTACAACTACACGCTGTTCCATGTCATCTTCTTCCTCAGCACAACCTGGGTCGCTACTTTACTCACTACCAACTTTGACGAGAAGGACGTATCTGGCAGCTTTGTACCCGTCGGTCGCACCTACTGGGCTAGTTGGGCTAAGATTATCAGCGCATGGGTGTGCTACGGCATCTACACCTGGACCTTGGTTGCGCCACTGGTGCTTCCGGAAAGATTTGATTATTAGTTGTGCAGTCAAACTGAGGCTCAAGTCGAGATTTGGCTTGTCTTGAGGAAACTGCGTCAGTCTAGACTTTGGAGTTGATGTACATTTGCATACATGTATTTTTAGAACCTGATGCGATTCAAACGGGGCTAAGCATGTGGCTGGCGCCCCTGTTGTTAGTACCTGTGTATCCATATCAGTGGCTTGAAGCTCTGTATTTATGGTGTTTGGTGGCTTTTCTTATGTTTGTTTGTATTGTACCCCGGAATAGCATCACTACCCGAGATCTCCTGGTCTGCTTTGGGATTATAGAGGTCTTTGCCAACTCACGTTAACCCCAATATTTCCCTAGCGGCTACTTCAAAAAACCATACAAAAAGGAAAACACAGAGCCACGCTTGCTTCGCTCTAGAAGAGAAAAAGAAGAAGAAAAAGGCAAGAAGGGAAAGGCGAGTCAAACACGTCCCGCCACTGTCGCTGTCACTCTAGCCCGACAGCGCAACGACACTCCCGCAAACTCTCTTTTCCCCCATCCCCTTTCGGAACCCGGCAGTCTCAACATCACTCTTATCTTTTTTTTCCAAGCACCACCACTACTGCCGAACGCCGCCAGCAAATAAACCTCAATTTCCCTTTCCCTCCCCCCCTTTATTCCCCAAATGCAGTCATGCTTACGGGATGTGTGTAAAGTATGGCCGGAGCGCGCGAAAATAAAATAACGCCGTCTGTCATTCGGCTGTTCATGGGGGGGTGGGAAATCAAGAAAACAAAAAGAGTGATCGACATTATGTATTTTACCCTTTTGCCGTGAACGCCGAAAGGGGGTTGATATAGCGCGTAAGACGGGATAAAAAGGCTAGAGAGATGGTGATGTGCGGGTTGCTCGGTGATCGACAAGTGTGGGGGGGATGTCACGGTTGAAACGAAACGAAAGATGGTAGGTGTGTGAAACAGAGGGAAACGTGAAGCACGCACGCCGGGGAGGTGGGAATAAGCTTTCGCCCCCGTCTTGGGGTGGGGAAATGGGGGCGCAAGGAAGGGAGTTGTTTGGCAAGGAAAGGGAAGGGGAGAGGGGAATATGGTGAGGGAGCAAGGGGGACATGTGGATAGTTTGGAAAGCCGATGGTTTGTGTCGTATCACGGTGCTAATCCGGAGATTTTTCTTTTTCGTCGCGGTACTTGCAGTATGGTGGTGGTAGCAGGTTGGTGATGGCAGATGTCGAAAATTGGAGAGAGGGAGAGTGGATTAAGTTCTGACAGGCAAGCCATTTCATTTCCCGACAGGTCATCTGGCGTTTTTTTGACAGTATGTAGCGTGGTGTATCCCCCCCCTCTCAAAAAAGCAGCAAGTCAACGGTCAGGTACCTTTTCGCATCTGAGCATAATCTCAACAAACGAACCCTTTTGCTTTTTTTTTATTTTCAAATATACTATTTTTTCAAAAATCAATGGCCTCAACAGTGGCTATGGCGTTTCCTTCGGATCCCCGCCGTGTTGTGTTCCCCCAACAACCACAAGTACACGCACAAGCATATGTTCAACAGCGACACCGAGCGTCGCAGTACACAAGAATGGCAGCGATAGACGAGTACGACTTGCCTCCCCGGCCAACGAGACAGCGAAAGATATCGCATAGAGGGGCCAGCGGGTTATTCGACGACATAGACGAGAGGAGTTATCGCAACGCTCACGAGATGCATCAAGTACAGAGTCCACAAAGCGGGACCCACCAGAGTGCGAAGGAGGAAAGGGCGGCGCGGCGCTTAGCGATGGGGAAGCCGGCGGAGTCGCGGTTTGAGGGTTTTGTTGCGAGGGTTTTTACGAAGCAAAGCAGGAAGGGAGCCGAGGCTGAGATCGAGGTGGATGAGGGGAAAGAAGAGGGTGACGGGAGGAGTGAGATTGAGAAACGAGGAAAGAGCATCGTTGAGGAGGCTACCATCTATCAGCAGAAGGAAGCTGCCGCCGCGGCAGCGGCAGCAGCATCGGATAGTCTCTTCTTACGAGAGTGCGGTATGGTTAGGGTCCAGGCGAATGCGCCGGGAGGTTGTATCATTGTTCCGAGGAATTTCGTCTATCGCGAGGATTTTACGTACAGGGAGGATCGGGATGCTGGGTGGATATAATGTCGGCTGGGATTTTCCGAAGTGAAGCTGATCCGGATGGTTTGGAGGACGTTTTTACTCTGATGCCTCATGTGGCTATTGATGGGCGTAATGCAGGACTGGAGGCACCGGAATTTCATGAGATCCGGGACGAACGAGGCAGAAAGAAGCTATCTGAGGCTCTCGTGGTTTTTTTTTCTTCTTAATCATAATGGAGAACATGGCGGGTAGCAGGCTCATCGGACCCTCCCCACACCTGCAATCTTATCTTCGACCATCTTCATCAGCATCTCCTTCTCTTTGACTGCTTTGACTCTATCGCCCTCCAGGTCTTCCAGCTGCCTCTCTAGTTCCTTCATTCTCTCTACTTGTTCCTTCTCACTCCAGTTTAGACCTGGCAAATGTGCGATCAACTTTTCAATTTGCTGCTCTTTGAGCGTAATGTCCTGTGCTAGCTCTTTGATATCTGCTTGAAACTGCTCTGGTGAGGGTTTGGGGGGCGGTGCAAATGGTGGCTGGGAAGGATCGTTTGCGGTGTTGTGCTGCGCAGCTTCACGGGCTTCCAATTCGGCAAAACTATCGAGGCGCTGTTGGCCTGGGGGTACACTTGGTGGCGCATTCTCTCTTATTTGGCGAAGAGCGGCTGCCATTTGATTGAGGAGCTGGGGCTATCAGCATGGCTGTGTTGTGTTTCTTTGTTGCGTGGATTGCAGTACCATGTCCAGCTCATCCTGGATTTGGGTCAAGATGTCGCGCATTGTTCCAGGAGTGTATGGAGTAGGTCAAAGAGTCGGGTGAGTGGGGTTGATGTAGTGCAGGTATACATATAGCATGTATCTACACACCAAGACGCAGCTAGCCGACTAGCGCCTCCCTCAAAATTACTATGGAGACGGGCCAATCCTCACCGCGCCCACCTGACATGCCAGTAATTCCCACGCTCACGCCCACGACACCCGGCCTGCGCTTCACCCACTGCCATCGGCTGTAAATATGTTCCGCCCTCTCTGTTCTTTTAGGATACCGTAATGCGACCCTCCCTACGCCCGACATGGCCCACAAACTCTTCGCTACTCGCATGGCTTCCCCGAGCAACTCCGCACCGCGTCCCCCGCCGCATCGCAACCACTTCCGCCCATAATGCAGCGCCTGTTGACCTCCCCAAGATGGTACTTTCCCCTGGCTCTCCTCACCATAACTCACTGCCCACCTTCCTCGAGTATGCAAAGCGCATCAATCTAGCATCGGATAACACCGTCTTCATTGGCACACACTACGAGTACACAAGCGCGCTGGCCCTCATGCGCCTAGGGTTTTCGCTGCTACGCATAGGACGCACTTCGGATGCGGGCATTGATCTCATCGGCCATTGGGTCTTGGCCCCATTGAGGGAGCCGCTGCCAGTCATCATCCAGTGCAAAGCGCGCAAGATTTCGGTAAACCCCAGTCATATCCGCGAACTCGAGGGCTCCTTTTCTGGCATACCGCCTGATTGGACCAAGAAGGACGTGCTTGGATTACTGGTAACGACAAAGAAGGCCACCAGAGGGGTGTTGGAGGCTGTGGGCCACAGCCATTGGCCCATGGGCTTCGTCTTGATCTCTCAGCAAGGTTTAATACAGCAGTTTGTCTGGAATCGCGCGGCGTGTGATCGGGGGTTGGAAGGCGTGGGTGTTACGGTGAGGCACACGCCACGGATCCTATTACCCGACGCCGAGCACGAGACCGAGCAAGATGAATCTGGCACAGCGAGGAAGCGCGTGGCCAAGTTTCAGAATGCCGGCACGAGGAGGGACATTCAGTTGACATGGATGGGCTCACCTATCTTTCCAGAAAGAAAGGAGCTGGATCAGGCGACGCTTGGCCTCATGCGACAAATCCCAGCCGACGAACCTGCCAAAGTCGCCAAAGTTGTTAAAGTTGTTGATATGGGGAAACGGCGTCCAGGACGCCCAAAAGGTTCCAAGAACAAGCCACTTGTTGAAGCTATTGAAACAGTTGGCCCGAGGCCCAGAGGCCGTCCAAAGGGTTCCAAGAATAAATCAACCCTTCAGGCCGAAAAAGAAGCTACATACAAGCCCAGAGGCCGACCTAAGGGCACAACAAAACATTATGCGGAAAAGATGCCATTTCCACGGGGTGGTTTAGTTCCACGCACTCTTAAGAGCTACTGCGGCCGACCCAAAGGCTCCAAAACAAAGCGACGAACGACAGTTGATGATGAGTAGAGATATGGCATTGTCCGGGTTTTCCATCCGGGGTGATACCAACAATCAAATATGATACCCGCTGCTTGGCTGTCTGTAGTGCGATACCCGACATGTCATTTAGCAGCACAGCACAATCTCCAGAAAAGACTTGGAATGGAAGAATGCCAGACTGATAACCGAAATTTTCTCAATGATTTCAGCATATTATAGCACATTGCACATCATCCACCTTGCATCCCGACTCTCTGCACTCTTCATGTGCGGTAATGCTCTCAGTGCGGACTGGGATCTTCAAGTTTAAAACAAAAGACAGCATGTTGAAAGTTTAGACATTAGTTCAATTTAGTAGTATTGATAAGACGTGCATCTTGGATCAGCTCAAGTCGATTGAACTCACCGTTTGACCGTGCAACAAACAATCACTCTACACGTGCCCGAGATTTCCCCTCATGAATCCGGAACACGAAACTGAGCCGTTGTTTAAGATCAATAGCGCTGATCGATCGCGAGACATAGCTTTTTTGGACATGGTGGGATCAGGTCACTTCGTGTCGTCACGTGCCCGGACTCCATTGATCGACCACAGGGACTAACTAGGACCTGTTTCGTCTGCATATGTAGCGTTGCTGGCATACAGCCTGGGCATCGATGTGTTTATTACTGGTTCTGCTTGCAGCCTTTGTAGCCACATATCCGTGACCCATAACCTACCGTTCTGTACCGCCGCATCCTGTGCTCTTGTTATCTCCACACTTTGCTTTCCTCAACCACTAGTGATAACTTCTATTGCGTGTTATGCGGGCATGTGCTCCTATCGCAAACTTGGTACCTCTGTCGCCCGGCTCCTGCCGAAGAAACCAGCGGTGCCTGATTGGTGGGTAGCGTTCGCCAGCACCCCTTTACCGCACCTGCACCCTCCAAACCATGGGGAACTTCGGTCATGATGCGTTTTCCGAAACAGTCATGCGAACTTTTCTCCACCACCATCGAGCGCAGAGTGGAAAACGACTCCTTTGTCACGCAATACATCAATCGCCTCGTTTGTCTTTAATCTCATCGCCTCTCATTGACCTCATATCACTATGAAACGGGCCACCATTGTGGGAGTGGTTTGTTTGTCTGCTCCTACAATACCAGAGTTTCACCTCACCGGCTACGCAATCAGGAACTCACAAGCGAAATCTTAGGACTGAACTGCATGGCAGAAAACTACGACAACGCTCTACTGAAGTTGCATCTTAGTTTACAACTCTCAAGGCCCAACGTAACACCACACGACGACTGATTACGACTGACGACGAACTTCGCCTTCCACGTACAATCTTGAACAAAGAAAACGAATAAGCGGTTCGACGAGCTCCAAATGACACAAAATTCAAAAAGAGCACTTACAGCATCTATCTATCAGCAACTCGCTCCGCCTGCACACTACCGCACTGGACCCTACCCACCAAATGTGTCACACGAAATGCAAATATCACAACTCAGACATGCTCAGCAGCCACTGATTACCAGCCGTCCCGCTGATATTGGGATGGGTGCACAAATCACAACGAGGGACGATAAGGCTATCAGTAAAACATGGCATGACGAGTGGGAAACTGAGCCTAGACCATTCGGTCCTAGAAGGCCGTTGGCGCTGCTCAATCAGCCTGTACAAATCAATCTTCGAACACATCCTCGCAACGCCAAGCGTGTCTACCTCAATCACTGGGATCGCCAACACGAACCGAACGGCACCACTGCACAACGGCTGGTAATACAAAAGAAGCAGGTCAGGATGGAAAGGCGTACGATGATACTAAGGACTGAGCAACAAGAGGAAAAGCGCAGAGAGGTGAAGCAGGCGGCAATAAATGCGGATGTGGTCGATCTTACCGGAGATGGCATATCATATGAAAAGCGCCCGTGGAGATATGACTCTGTCGGACATGCGGGATTTTCCGGTTCCTCTCATGAGATGGGTCACACCTGGGATCATTCATGGCAGCCATAGGTCACAAGACTGTTCACATTTGTCTCTGTAAATGAGCGAAATGTATGTAGTCGGGCTTGGAATGAAAGTCTGTAGTTAAGTCCCGTTTCCTCTTTCACGAACTTGCAAACATTTTCATTGAAGCCTCTCACTTGCATACATCGGGTAAATGGCATTCATGTCTAAGATGTGAAGATTAACGAGTGATAGCAGTGAGTGGAAACTTCGAGCAGTAAGAGTCACTGCCTATCATAACCATTCACTCTCATGTTTGTTACTGGGTCAAAGCTCATGATGACATTTTCACTTACACTGGCCTAATTCACCTCCCCGGACTTTCCTCTGCTGCTCATAGAAATAGCTCGCTCCTGTCCTCTTGCCTTAGTTATCCATAACCTGTGTTGCAAAATCAACCAGCAACTTCCAACACATTTCAAGATATCAAAGAATAGCCATGAACGATTTCAACCCTTTATTCTTTTCTGATATGACATCTGCACAGCTGTACAGCAACGATGAGCCGAACCAAACCAACTTCCAAGACATGTTTGTCTCTTTAGATCCTCTGCTCGATCCGCATATCAGCAAAGGGCCAGCCCCAGAAGGGTCAGCCTCCCCCGACGCATTGAAGACACCCACTGGTAGCCCACCGACCGCACCTCAAAAGATGGATTGCGATATTCAGTCGAACAACGATACATCACAGAAAGTTTTAGTGGCAAGTCCTCTTGATCATTCCCATGACCCCACGGTTCCTACTGCCACCGAGTCAAAGACGCACAATGGCATATCCACAGGAAAGCTGCGCGCACATTTCATGCTCGACATGCCGCATCATGAGTACATCTTTCCGACAAGAGGAACTATCAATGCAACCATGGTAGAAATCCTTGTTCTACTCCCTCATTGGTTTCGCAATCCCCAAATCTTGATGCGCTTCTTGAACAACGGCCTCATGTCCAACATCCACATCACGATCATGGAAGAGTACCGTAAACTCGAGCTTAACACAGGCGAGGAAATAGAGCGCGCTCGTGACTACATTGCCGACTCATATCGTAAGGCTATGCGGAAGATTGTGCCCTCATGGTTAAGACGCAATCATAAGGTACCAGAAGATTGGGACGCGACCGTGATGTCTATTGAAAACGTCATTCCTGAAGCAGCAACGAAAATTGGATATGTAGCACCAGCATCTATTCCATTCAAAGATCTTGCAGTCGGACTGAAGAAGCTGCCTCAAGGCTATGATGCTGGAGATCTCACACGTGCGCTCGACTACGCGATGCAGAACGGCAAGCCTGGTAAAGACGGAACCACTACTGAGTTCATGTTCCCAGACGACATTCACATAATTTTGAATCACATCGGGAGGACTGAGATTACGGTCACCCACCTCGACACCCACGCCGTCCCCCGGTATGCCACTATGGTTCGTGCCACAGAGCAAGCACGCCGCAAGAAAATTGCTGATGGTAGAATGCAAAGGCAATCCAAGGTGGAGTCTATCCAAAAACCTATGGATGTGCCTCAGTCACCTCAGCAACCTGGATCAAGTCAACAGGCACAGATG